TGTTGTTACTATGTAGAAACGTTTTTTAAATTCTATCAATTGATAATAAGATCAGTACAAACTGGAAAAAACAACAACTTTCAACTACCTCCTAAACTTCAATTTAGTCAGCTAGTAATAAGAATGGTGGGAGTTTCATCCGAGTTGAATTACAAATAATTGAGATCATTTTATTGTCGATTTATTTATTTATTTAAACATAGTTGTGCAAGGAGGAACCCAATATATGGGTCACACTTCGTCATTCATTTTTGTGTGAGAGCTGGAATACTGTCGGAGCTCCCTAACCGAAGCAAGTAGTTTTCTTAAGGAGTCATTTTGCAAAACTTTGACGTAAAGGTCTAATTCACAAAAAAAAGTGGAGCAACTTTAGTAGATGTGGTTTCATGGTACCCGGTAATCAACAGTAGGTTCATACTCTATGCATTTCTTCAGAATCTTTACTTGATATGCATCATTTAAGCAACTCTAGTATTCTGATTGAGAAATCTTGTTAGGCAGCTTAAATAGCTCGTGGCGGTTAAGTTATCTAAATCAAAATTGGAATAATACATATGCAAAATTGTTTATTGTTTCATTACAAATAACGAATTTCTTTCAATTCTATTGGGGACGTTAGATCCCCAGAACTCATTTGGGAAAAGACTTTGTTTCGTAATTTTATTTAGAAAATTTGAATTTCTTTGTTTTCGCGCCAAAAGCGCTCTTATCACCTTCATGTCGTGTTTCCCACTGGGAAATATCTTAAATGCTATCGGTCCGTCTTTTAGTATGATATTTGATAACTCTCCTTAAGGACGGTTTTGTACTGTTTATATACCTTTTGAATTGTGTTTGTTGCTATCGCTGGTTTGTGGCTATTTACGAAATATACTTCCCCATTTCAATCTTGGACTTCTTCCTCTAGTTATCAGGGCTTGGACTTATGAAATAGCTAGGTTACTGGTGTTTGGTCACTGAGTTTTGTTTCTCATTCTCAGATTATGTGGACTCGTGATAGCTTCAACCCTAGCAATTTCTCTGCTTGTTCTAAACTTCACTTAAACGCGTTTCTAATATTTTTTTCATCTTTTATTTTGGTAACTAGTATTGTTATCTTCACTACATTTTTGTTTGATTCTATTATCCTCATCCAGCTATTATCCTATGAAGGATGAGTTTGTGTGAGGTAACGTGAAACAACATGCCGTTTAACGAAATATTCAGTGATTATTGTCTGTTAATATGAAATTTTCTATTCTATAGAATCATTTGTTCAAGTTTAAGACAATAATCTTTGATCTCCCTTAATATGATTACTCAAAGTAGTTTATATACTACTGATTTCAACAAGATCTATCTTTCAGTTAGATAGCAGTATCAAATTCTTAACTCTTTGTTGACAACAATACCAGGTAGACAAAGGTGATTTTCTCTGTTGGGGAGAAAAATAGCGATAGCTAAGGTACTACTATAATCAATCATTGAGTTTAAACAGTAATATCATGTGGGTTACTTATGTCTACATAAGTAGTGTATAACTGTGGTCAGGCATAGAATGTATTTCAATAGAAGATCGATAAGGAAAGAACGGGAACGGGACTCAATTGGTGTCAAAATGCATGAACAATGCAATCTGAGACAACAGATTTATATTTGCAAAAGGAACAGTTAAGTTTGAGACGATGCGTTGATATTTTGCAAATTATGGTTCTCAAATTTTAGTCAGATACTCTGTAATTTCATGACAAATACATTCGAGTGTCCCCACTACAGTAGTATTAGTAGTAGTATCGAAATCTCCAACATATAGTATATTGCTCAAAACTTAATTCGGCTGTTAAATTACAGTAGTTGTCCTTCTTCTACTGTAAATCGGTAAATCAAAGTGATTGTATCAATATGCTGATTAATTCAGTCATGTATAGTCAACCCTATAATCTATTGTAAGTTTTTTCTTCTATCTAACCTGTTAAAACTTGTCTTAAACTTATTAGACAATGGATTTTTCATTCATCTATGATAAAGTATAGAAATGTGAACTGATGGTTAATTCGTTCTTATACACTCAACGAAACTGTCTTCAATTTCCTTATTCATATTTAGATTATAGATTTTGTTCTATTCCCAATTAACCCTTTAGATAAGCTAATATTTGTAAATACAGTGAGATAAGTTGCATGGTTAACATTTTATACCACCAAATAACTTTAGTTACTCTCTCTCGTGTGCTTTAAATTGATCACAGACTCTACTTGATTTACTGAGATCTTCAGAACTTGAGACATTCCGCTTGTATTGTCGTTCAATTTCTCACCTTCTATTAGTTTAAAATATTTCCACCTTTTACTTTTCTCTTTCTTGTTGTTTCGGTTAATCGATCGTCATCGGGTTGAATCTATCTATTAGTATGTTTGTTGATATCACTGTGGTGTGTGCTACTGATGTCAATAATTATAAGTAGTATGTATCATCAATCATAAGAGAAATGACTGCTGACAGAATGTTAAGAAGATGGAAGAAAATAGAACGAGAACAAATAATGATTGGTGTGGAAATGAAGGAACAACGAAGTCTGAGACGATTGATTGACCTTTAAGTATTTATCTTATGGTTCTCAAATTTTACTAAGATATTCTGTAATTGTGTATTGAAATACATTCGATTGTCCTCATTTGTGTTCTTGTTCAGTACATCGCCAATATAAATGTGTTTTTTTTTCGGTCCCCACTACAATAACACAAGCTTTTGCTTGAATGTAAACTTTCAAACTCCATGAAACACTACCAAGTAAAGCATATTCTCCCCTGACAATCTTACATCCTCAAGATGATCATATTAATAATGTTCTTGTCTTAATCATTTTTATCTGTCTTTTGCTTGTGCAATACGTTTTTTGAACCACCAACGTCTTCTATTGTTACTTTAAAAATTTATAAGTAGTATAGCTGACTGGCATAAATTTACGATTCATAAGGTTTACCTAATTTACCTGTATACTTTTCTACAGTAACTTTTAAAACAATTCACAACATATAAAGTAGTCTGCGAAGGTATTTATTAGGGCTTTTGTCAAAACTATACATTTCAAGTGGTGAAATACAGTGGCATTTTAAATGCAATTAAATTCTTACTTGATTAAGTAATCTAATGAAGTATTCAATATAGAACATGTTATCCTATGTATTGTTTGGTAATATTCAAACCACCGTTGCTCTCTTTCTTTCTCTCTTTGTATGTGTCTTTCTAATGATGGTGACTTCGAAAATTTGTAAATGCAACCAAGGGTTACTCAACATACGAAATTATCTTATTGATTGTTATAATTGTACAGTATTCACCTGTAAATGTGTAACGACTTTGAGTTTTTCTATACTTTTAGCTATATTTATCACTTACATGAACGACGCAAACAGTCGTTGTGATTTGTACTCCTTTCAAGACTATTTTATTATATCATATTTCATATTATATTTGACTTATGAACGAGAAGAGATTATAAATGTGAGGACGGTGAACTCGAGGAAGCTGTAAGAAGCTCAGAAAGAGCTGAAGATATTCCATCCAATCATCTTTTGGAAAGATATTCCAGAATTATTATATGTAGCTTATCTATTGGACGAATGCTAATAACTCCCTGTGTGCGGATTGGATAACTATAATGATGATTTGGTTTTCACTAAGAACTATAAATACTTGACAGTTTTTTACTATAATTGACACTGTCTGGAATAACATTCCTTTCACTAGTCTTCTGTCTTTTTCATTGCGACTTGGGAGTGTTCTAGCGTCCGAGTGCTCAAGTTATACACTGTATATTAAGAATATAAGCTCTAGATGTAACAATAAATCTACACTGATAGTGTCACACTAATCATTGTTATTATCTTATCATTATTTTATAAATTATATACCTTTAATGGTAGTTGAGAGTTAATGTATATAATAGTAACTCTTGTTTTTTATTCGCTGTAGTCGGTAGGTTGTCATCCTCAATTTTTTTCTCGCCTATATATGTTATCGTCAAATTGATTTAATGGTGATAACATTCAGTTACCACTCAGTTTATTGATTATTTTTTTTTGGTGAAAAAACAAACTATTAACCAAAAAGGATACTGTCAAGTTAATATGAATGTCAATTATACACTACACTAAAAAGAATTAAGTGTAAGATTTGGTAGATATAAAAACGTTCACATATCTGAGCAGCATCATTGATGAACAAAGTGGATCTGATGCCAGATGTGAAGGCGAGGATCGGAAAATCAAGAGCAGCCTATTTACAAATGAAGAACATCTGGAACTCAAAACAACTGTCTGTCGACCAACACCAAGGTCAGAATTTTCAATATAAATGTCAAGACAGTTTTATTGTATGGAGCGGAATCTCAGAGAACTACGGAATCCATCATCCAGAAGACACAAGTGTTTATTAATATCTGTCTACTTTGGATCCGTTGGCCGGACGGTATCAGCAACAGCCAACTGTGGGAAAGAACAAACCAGATCCCAGCGGAAGAAGAAATCAGGAAGAAGCGCTGTAAGTGGATAGGACACATATTGAGGAAGGCACCCAACTACGTCACAAGACAAGCCGTCACATGTAATCCTCGTAGCTAAATGAAAGGAGGAAGACCAAAGTACACATTACGCCGCGAAATGGAGATAGATATGAGAAAAATGAACAAGAATTGGATGGAACTAGAAAAGAAGACCCAAAACAAAGTGGGTTGTAGAATTCTGGTCGTCAGCCTATGCTCCATTGGTAGTAACAGACGTACGTAAGTAAAAGTAAGAAAGAATTAAAGTATTAAGTTGTATAAACTTCTGAAGTTTTTGTTTTCATCCCAGTTCCTGAGGAAATAAACAGTACATATGGTTTAATCTGTTTAAGGTTTAACAATATGTGTGGTATAATGAATGACTTAGGTGTTTGTTATACATGCTTTTCCTATTTTATATAAACTTAATGATACATATTCATGTTTGTTTATGTGTGTGTGTGTTTAAACTTTGTAGACGAAAGAAAAAATGTATTCGTTTCTTAACAGATACTGAATTTGAAGAAGAGAATAATTTTCCAGTATCTCCTATATCACCATCTACAACATTGAATAATTTAGAAAAACCACCGACATCAGTAACAACAACAACCACCACCACACCATCATCAATAACGATAGCATCATCTCAACAATCAAATCTTCCTAATTATTGTAAATCAAAACATTTTTATACATCATCAACGGATCTAATTAGTGGATTGTATCCTAGTAACAATACTACTATTACTACTACTACTACTAATAATAATAGTCTCTGGTCAAATTATACACCAAATTTTCATCGTGTTATATCATCTATTAGTGAACGACGATCAGTTGATCATTCATTATCACAGTATAATAATAATAATAATAATTCTAAAATGAATAATCAAAATTTCATTGATGAATCTTTATTAACTTATATGTCAAAAGGTTCCAATTATTTATCCAATCATACTAATTCAATAATATCACCATTTAATTCAACTGTTATCTCTGATATCATTCATTCAAATGTTTTATCTAATAATCAAATTGAAAAATCTTCAAATTCTTTGATTTCAACACATTGTACAAGTTTATCACCACCACCACCTCCACCCCCACCGTCATCATCATCATTTTCTTCTTCGTCGATTTCATTATCGAAATGGTCCCAAAAACATTTATTCAATCTTGCTACATTACAAAATATTTCTTCAGGTAAATCTAATTTATATTTAAATGATAATACAATAGCTTCATGTCCTTCTTCTCCTATTCCATTATATTCAACACAATTTATATCAAATTTACCATTATCATCATCATCATCATCATTATCAGCAGTAGCATCTCAAGAAGAGAATTTCAATATAAATTGTTGTATATCATCATCATCATCATCAGATTTATCACATAATAATTGTGATAAGATAATCAACAGTACTACTAATACTACTACTAATACTAGGAGAAATCATAATCATCATGTTAAACGATTTATGCCTATTCACCATTATAATGATCATATAAATACATCCGTTTGTTGTACAACTAATACTACTAATACACCAATAATGAGTAGTAGTAGTAGTATTAGTCATAATGTTAATATTTATAAATCCCAGTGACATTCATCAAATACTTTTACTTATTTAAATGCAATAAAGAATGTTCACTTATCTCTTATTGAATATATTTCTCTTTCATTCATTTTCTTCTATTTCTATTTTATTTTATAAATATCATTTATTTATTTGTTTTGTTTTTCTTGTTGTTGTTGAAATAATCATATTACGTCATCATTAAGAGTAAGGCTATTTTGTTCTTCTTTTCACTTTTCTTTATTCTATAGTCTTGACAACAATATCTTGATGAATACATTTTCTAAATTTGCGTGCGTGTGTGTGTGCGCGTGTGTGTGTGTGCGTGCATGTGTAGATCCTGATCATCACCAGTTTATTTGTTTATTTGTTTTTCAGCGCCGACATATTCCAACAATGAATGATATTAGTCTTATTGTCCTGTGATGTGATTATGTTTTAGGTACTTTATTTATTGATTTATTTTTATTTCTCTACTATTACATAATCACTTTTTTTTGGGGGGGGTTGTTTCTAAAGCGCCTAATCATCATCATCATCACCATCACGATCCGTTTTCTTTTTTTTTTAAAAAATTAACTCTTGTTTTTATTCTGTTGTATATTTATAAAATGTTCATTGTTTTGCATCATTATGTAATCGTTTGTTTGTTCGTTTGTTATTGTTGTTGTGGTTATTGCTGATCTATCAATATGAACCTTCGAAAACATGAAATCTATTCAAGTATGAATATCATTTGATTGGTAATTACTGGTTATTCATATCTTATGAACATATATAGGTGTTTTATTATTTATTTATTTGTTTGTTTATGTAATTTTGTTTTTATAATTATTTATTTTAACCATTTTTTGTGTGTAAATATTGACCATTAGTTTACATTCTCTATTCTCTTCCTTGTTGCCATCGCTGTTGTTGTTGTTGCTGTTCTCCTTCACTCTTGCTATTTGTCGTATGTAGACATGCTGATTCATTTCTCTTCATAACTTTTTTTAATCTTATTGTGTATTCTGCATGCAATTCATGTATAAACAAATAAACTGATGAGTATTTTTTGTTGTTGTCAACTTGAACTTTAAAACATTCTTTCCTCCAGTCTTATCATGATAATGATGATGATGATTATTTAAACAGTTGTACACATCCCTGGTATTAGATCATGTCAGAATATTAGTAGTTAAGTGATTTACTTTTAGTTAATAATACCATCTTCTATCCTCCGCCACCACCCCAATTCTCCCCCCTCTCTCTCTCGTTCTTTCCTTTATCTCCTTGCATAGAAACATGATCAAATAACTTCTCGTTAATGTGTAATTTATTTTATTTTTGTTTTTCTATATACAATTGTTACTCTAATAGAGAAGTTTAATTATTTTCACTTGTTCATTACATAATTAATGATAATAATAATAATGATCGTAATTAAATTTAAGCAGCGTTTATGTACAATTTATATTCTATTTAATTACTTAATTAATCTCCCTCTCTCTCTCTCCCTCTCTCTCGGTTCTTTCTTTTTTTTATATTTCGCTTATTTATTATTTTTATTCTTATTTTCTATGTTCTTCTTCTTACTACTACCTAATTATGCATGAAATTCTTTACTTTTTTTAAATGTGAATAATAATCAAATATATTTAACATTAATCATTTCAATAATTAAATTCATGAATTGATTCAAACTAGATCACCATGGAAATACTAGTTGGTTGTTTCATTCTAGTGTTAAGATTCTTCAGCATTTCTCACAGGTTTATTCATAGAGATATTTATGTATGTAACTTGAATTACATGTATAATGACGTGATAATTCTGTCAGTGTATGGTTGTAGAGATTTGATTGATGTTAGATTATCATTGAAAACCTGGAAGTATTAGATAGTTATTTCGTCTTATTATTATGGGATTCTTCAACAGTATGCGTCTATGACCCCGCTCTCGGGATTCGAACCCATGGTTTTTGATCTCGTGCTCAAACGCTAAGCCAGCTGACATCGATCGGTGCTAATGTCTAACCTCAACCAATCTATGAAATTGTGCGGTCACCTTCCATTGTACTGAGGTAGATATCTGTCTCTACCTGACATGGATTAACTCCACCTGTCATGGCTTCTCACTAGAACTCCGAGGGTTGCTTCACGAAGCTAGTCACTAGTGAGCACATGGTAATTATCAGTATGGGATTGTGGAGATTATTAATAAGTTATTGATTGAGATCATGAATTCATTGATGTTAGACCACCATTAAAAACCTAGAAGCACTGGGCGGCCGTTTCGTCTTATTGTAGGTCTCCTCAGCTGTAAATGAGGTTAGAGAATAACACCATCGGATGCTGGCTAGCTCAGTGTTCTAGAGGTTAAGCATTCGCGTGCGAGACCGATGGTCCTGAGTTCGGATCCCGTAAATGCACACTGCTGAGGAATCCAGTGACCCTAGATTTCCAATCACTGAGATTAGAGAACAGGTAGGTAGAACACTTTGAATAATTCTTGAATAGACCAACCCACTGGGCATTGAAGCAACACCTACAGACGTTCCTATAGATGTCATTCCACCAACGATCGACGATATCAGGATGTCTGTCAGACAGATTAGGAATGGGGAAGCAGCACAACCTGACAAGATATCAGCTGAAGCATCGAAGTTATAAGTAACTACATATTCTGTTCGAGAAGATTTGGGGGGAAGAACAAATGCCAGCAAACTGAAAAGAGGTTTAACTCATCAGTATACCAAGGAAAGGAGATCTGAATAATTGTGAGGACTACAGGGACATCACATAACTATCGGCACCACGAAAACATTTAACAGAGTGTTGTTGAACCGGATGAAATAATCAACAGACTCCCAAGTTCGAGATCAACAGACCTGATTCCGTGAGATTCGTTCGTGCATAGACCGAATCGCGACGCTATGGATAATCGTTGAACAATAAATTGAAAGGAAATCGTCACTACACATCAACTTTCTTGACTATAAGAAAGCGTTTGACCGCGTAGATAGGAGAACCTTCGAAACTATGGAGTTCCTGAGAAAATCGTCAACATTATCTGGAATTCGTACGATGGAATACACTGCAAAGTTGTGCTCTTCTAACCCATATACCAACAAATCCAGATGAAGGCGGCCAATGGGCTTTATTATACGCAATCGGAAAAGCAAGATCTTGTAATACAACACAAAACACCAAACCAATCACATTTGATAAAGAAGCATTGGAAAAAGTGAGAAGTTCCACATACCTGGGTAGCATCATCGATGAACAAGGAGGATCTAATGCAACTTTGAAGGTAAGGATTGGCAAAGGCCTGCATTTTTAAAATTGAAGAACATATATAAATCAAAACAACTGTCAGCCAACATAGAGGTCATAATCTTTGGTACGAACGTCAGGACAGTTATATTGTAGGAATCTTATTTATTTATTTATTTCAACACATAGATAATGGTACAAAGAGGCACCAAATACATATGCGCCACACAAATCTCATCCGATATGTGTGAGGGCTGTGATACTGCCCGGGTGCCCAAACCGAAGCAGGTGGTTTTCTTAGGGGGCCACACCCCGAGCCTTCGACCCAAAGGTCTGATCCACAAGGCAGTGGAGCATCGTAAGGAGATGCATTCCCATGGAAGCCGGTGACCAACAATTGGTTCATTCGCCATTTGTTCCCGCAGGATACTGGAGCCCATGTGCAGGAATCTGAGACTTGGAGAACTACTACAACTATCATCAAAAGGGTACCAGTATCTATAAACAACTGGGGAGAAAATTAGGAAAAGACGTTGGAAGTGGATAGGGCATACATTACAGAAACCATCAAACTGAATTACGAGACAAGCACTTACTTAGGATCCTGAAGTGAGACGGAGAAGAAGAAGACCGAAGAACACACTACGTCGGAAATCGGAAGCAGGCATGAAAATAATGAATAGCAAGTGGAAATGATTGTCTAGGACAGAAGTTGATGAACAACGTTGGTGGTTAGCCTATGCACCTTGATGAGGTGTAAGAGGCGTAAGTTTTTACTAGCATTAAGCTATTAACATTCTTGATGAGTTGCCTAGTTGAACAATTATGCGTATGTGGTCCATGCTTCCTATCTACGTTTGAATTTGTTTTCTGTTTAGTTATGAATTTACGGGATACATCATTCATATGCTTAAGTTAGTGAATTGGAAAATAATATTGATCCTTGATTGTCTGGTGTCATCATTGACTGATATACACTGAATCAGGTCAATCTCTGCTCATCTTTGTTTTTCAGTTTATGTTAAATTAAAGTGATGTTATTGAAAGTCGGATTGCAAACTACTCATGTTACGTAATTAGAATTTGTACTGATCTACTACTAATTCAAAATTATGAACACTACTATTTAGTGATTTACTTAGAAACATTCAGGTAAAACAAATCAGGTCATTGCAATTTATTAGTTTTAAGCATACTTTCTGTACTGTATTCATGTGAATCATTAAATGTTATTTGATTATCAATCACCATGACACTGTGCTTGTACAATATTTCCATTGGAGTACTAAGTTTATTCCTGAATACATACTGACCTAGATGCCTTTCATTTGACAGTGGTTAAATAAGAACGTTAACTAAAATGAGTTTATAACATTATTAGCAGTTTTGTCACCTGGTATAGAACCTTACTGGTTCGAACCATGATTTATACATTCCTTCAATTCCTGTTACAATTTCATTATCAGTAGCAATGCTATTCCCCACGTGGGTTCGAATCCCATCCCAGTCGCCTGATGTTATATCTTGAAAGCTGATTTTCTCGATATACCGCGTATAACAGAGCACTAGAGCACCAAAACCCTTTCAAGTCGCAATAAGAAGACAGAAGACTAATGAAAGGAATATTATTCCAAACAGTGTCATCATAGTACAAAATTGTCAGGTTGAGAACGAAATCATCATCACAGTCTTCCAATCCGCATACAAGAGGTTATTAGCATTATCCAATCGGGAAGCTACACGTTGGAATTCTAGAATATTCTTCCGAAAGGT